GGAGAGGGAAGAGGAAAAGGAGGAGAGAGAGAGCTCGAGGGAGGGGGAAACAACTGGAAAAATAATGAATTTACTCGTGTCACAAGGGAATCTAGTAGCAGCTAAGGCAAAGAACAGAGTAAAAGAGGGATAGTTCTCTGGGGCAAAACATTTAGGTTGAAACCTAAAAAATAAAAATTTCCCACTATAAAAGGAGAGCTTTACAGAAGGAGAGCTTTACAGAAGAGGTACCAATAGGCATGTGCGAAGGGCCTATGGAGGAAAAAGCTTGGTAAATTTGCAGGCAGAGGGAACGCCGTCCAGGGGTGCTACTGGACAACACTGGAGAAGCAGCAGCCCCATCCATTACGCACGAGCTTGTGGACCTCATCAAAACGAAGCCAGTAGGGGTGGTTTTCAGGCAAGTGACCTGGACTAGAAGACAAATGAAGGAGTGGCTGGCAAAAGAGCTGGACCAAAGAAGAAGGATCCGTGTACTGACTGGGCTTGTGGTGGATAACTGACCCTTGAGTTCTGGTTTAAACAAGCTTTGCTTCCTGGAGTGGACCTAGCTCTCAATTCTTCCTCTCAAACCAAGCCAACATCTGGAGGACACATGGAGGAATATTATTAAATTATCTTCCCTTTTTTTCATAATCAGGAAAAGGAGAGTCAGCAAGAACTGCTCTCCCAGAATTTTTCTTAGGCTGCTGAACAATTTTCCCAATCTAACACCAATATTTTTCTTTTCTTTTAATTTATACCAAACAATCACACAGTTTAAGCCCCCCAACTCCCACACACACCTCCCATTCTGAGTTCCTCTCAGAGGGAAGCCACTTTACACATGTGTGTTTATGTTTCTTTGATGATTATTTCCATATCTCTAGAAAACATGATGAACAATGACTACTTGACTTACCACATTTAGACATCATCTTACTGAATTTCTGCCTTGAGAGACAAGAATTTATCTGCTTACACAATGACCCCCCCCCTCCCTTTCTCCTTCCTAATTTTGTCAGGCAAATTACAGCTGCTAGCTACCTATCTACTGCAGCAGTTTCCAAACTTTAACTCCACTGAAATCACTAGGGCTTGTTAAAACAAACTGCTAGGACCTACCCTATGAATTTCTGACTTGGTGGCTTTGGGTGGCCCAATAATTGTCATTTCTCACAAGATCCCAAGAGAGGGTGAGATTGTTGGTTCATTTTAAGAAGTATTATTCTATGGCTGACCTCTGCAACTTTAAGTAATAAATAGCTATTTCTTGTGTCATCAAGTTTTAGAGTATTGACTCAGCAATTTGAGAGACTGAGGCATTAAGGAAACTGCTATCATTCTTCTTTGACCTTGACACAGTCAAATCTGATGACATATTTTATACTATCACCATACCTCTGTTTTGGTTTCATTGTAAAGAATGAAAACCATTAAAAGTAATAATTTATTATGGCTACTTGATTATTTGTCATAGTAGAACCAAGACAACTATCATATTTATTTATTCTTCTCTATACATTGAGACAAAATTAAAATCCAAAAATACTTAACTTCTGCTTCAAGGATAATGTCCTTCTATTAAGGTCTTTTTCTTTCTTATGCTCTTCTATTTCAAAATCCTACATTTTAATTTGCCTTATATTTGAACCATGAGAAAGTAATCTTATTTTTATTTTTCTAAAAATGTTTTGCTTTGAGGTTTTTTGGTACCAGGGCTCCAACTTGCGGCCTCCTGCTTGCCAGGCAGGCACTTAGGTCACTGAGCTAAATCTCTATCCCCCTTGTTTTGTTTTGTGTACTGAAGATTGAACTTACCACCTTTGCATTGAGTTATATCCCTACGCCTTTTAATTCTTTTTTTTTTTTTTTTTCAGACAGCATCTCTAAATTCCCCAGGCTGGGCTCAAACTTTTGATTTCAGAAATTTTGACTGCCTTTATTTTTTTCTTATTCATAGAATACAAATACTTAAAATATACTGTATTATGAATACTTGCCGCTTCCTCATCATTCTATCTATTACTTAGCTTCATTTTGCTGCTAGTTCATTGATACCCCGTTCTTCACTGGATAAATATTTTAGATTTCCACAGTGATCATTCTGGGATTTCTTCTCATTACATTTCTGGGACTTCATGCCACAGTTTCTTGGATCCTACACCTTGTTCCTTCCCGCTGTCACCCTTGTTTTGTTGGAGTGCATCTCAGCTTACGCCCCTGGAAGGATTCCTAGGGAGGTAAACATTTCAGGTCCTTGCTTCTCTGAAAAGTGACTTAAATTATTTACCTCACATTTGATTGGTAGGTTAAAAATAAAATTTTAGTTTCAAAATCACTTTCCCTTGGAACTCTGAAGCCCTTAGCTCATCTAAGTCTAGCTTCTGATCTTGCTAATGAAGAGTCCAGTGGATAATCAGTCCACCTGTCATCCTGTTGTAAGCTGACATATTTCCCCACTATCACCATCCTGCACTTCCTGTCCTGGAAATGTTTAGAATTTTTCTTTACTCTTGGAAGCAGTAATAACTCAAAATCATGTGTGTATAATAATTTGGGTTTATCTTGCCTGTTCATTAGTAGGCCTTAAAAAATACTATCTCATAATTAATGAGATAGGGGAATTTATCTATTACCTCTCAAACTTTCTTCACTGTTTGTCTTTTCCCTTTTTCTCATAGGTTTATTACTTGGCTATAGAACCTTATAAATTATCCACTAGCTTTCTTTTTCTTCTACTTGTCTTTTAGCTCTTCTTAGAGGGAGATTTCTCACATTATCTTCTAATCCTTCTAGCAGAAATTTGGCTCTGCAATCACATTTTTTATTTTCAGGAGTCTCTCCTTTTTTTCTGACTCTTTCCTTAAAGCAGAGTTCCATTTATGCATTAATGAATGAAATACATTCTTCAGTTTCCTTGCACTTCTTGCATGGACTTTAAGGATTTCTTTTTACAAAATTTATAATCTATTTTAGTCCCTATAAATTTTTCTTTCAATTATTCTATTTCCTTAGTTTTTATAGATTTTTCTTGCCATGTGTCAATTTCCTCTGATCTCCATTTCCCTTGATTATCCATTCATATTTAAGGACATGGTAATACTCCTAATTAGAACGTCTATGGACCAGTGTGTGTGGATGGCAGGAGGGAAAATCTACCTCTTATGACAGAAAACTACCACACTACCTGGTGCAGTGGTTCAACTCTTTGAAAACAAATTACTCAACTGCCTGTCTGGGCTACTTGTAAAGTCTGCATACTTGCAGCAGGTACAGTGGAAGGCCATCTCTTCCATATATCAAATGTCACCAAACATCACCAAATATATCATTTCTTCATTGTGTAGATCAGGTGAGTGCTGGCCTTTACTCTGGATCGTTATTTCTACCACCATGTTTTTATCGTACTTCTCATTCTTAGTCCCCTCTGTAACTGCTGCCTGGCTCAGGCTAAAGTTTCCCTGATTCCACAACAGACAGGAAGCCAGCCCCTCCACTCTGTCCAAGCCAGTGAGACACAGCCTGCGTCCTCCCACATCTTCCCTCACTCCACCAGAACCTGCTCCAAGGTATCAGAGGCCTAAAGGGCTTGCAGACCACTTTCCCAGGAGGACTGTTCTGTGCTTTGAAAGGGCACCAAAAAGAGAAGGAAAGTGGATGTAAAAAAAAAATTAAGGTATTTTATGTGTACTTATCAACTCCTTATGATAAATGTAACCATGACATACTAATAAAAATATAATAAAAAACAAAATTAAGCTCCTTAAGAAAAAAAGCTGATGTTTAAGTCAAAAGCAGCATCACAAAGACAGTATCTTCCAGCTTGTGTCTACAAGGTACTTCCAGCTGTCTTTCCCCAGTCAGTGTGTGTGGGGGCAGGCCCATCTGCCTCCTCTCCAGAGAATGATCCTCCACTTAAGGAACCTTCCTTCAAGGAGGGCTGTACACCCTCCTTTACTTCACCCATAGACAGCTAACAGCGAACCAATATGGGGATACAGGGACCAGCTTCCAGGCCTCAAGAAGAGGACAAGCCTGCTATCATTTATGGTCCAGTGTTCCCCAGTGAGATTATATCCCTGTTCAGTGAGATTATATTCCACAGTGAGATTATATCCCTTACCCTTCCTTTATATACTTTACCCAGAGCATGGCCTCATAAGTCCATGTGCTCACAACTCCCCATCTCAGGCTCTATTTCTAGGGAACCCAAGAAAAGGCAGTGGGGGACAGTTTGGGAGAAAACAGAGATGCCTTGCTAAAACCTCACTACCTATTTAAATACCTGAAAGGACATTTCTAATTCCAAACCTTTCCCTGTGGCTCTACTTACATCTCTTTTCTGAAGGTCACTGATTTGCTAGTTTTTCTCTCTGTTTACAGCAGGCTGAAGAACCATGGCGTTGGGGCCAGCAGATGGTTCTACAACTTTGCCCCTACCTTGCCAAAGTCTGGTAAAGTCAAAAAGCAGTGTTTCCTGATCTGAGCATTGCACATCTCATAGATGGCTCAGGGCAGACAAGTCAGCACTGCTGCAGCACAGAATTGGCCCACAGGCTCATTCCTCCTACCTTACATGCCCTGTAGCCGACATCATTCAAAAGCTCCTACACATCAACATATACAGGATACACTGAATGTGGAGCAGGACAGGTTCCACCTACACCTGCCTGGGTGGTCTGGCTTCCAGGGACACTTGGGTCAGGTATAATTAACTCAACCACCAACTCGGGAAGCTACAGCTTTTCATTTTTTGCTTCCCTCACTCCTCCAATACAATTATTGAGGAAGCTCTGGAAACAGTTCAGGAACAGAAGATAAGTTTAGGACCAAAAAGAATTATAATTTCTAGTATCCCTACCAACCTGAGAATGGTCCTGTGGTATTTAAGACAAATGAAAATAAATCATTTCTTCATTTTGTAGGTCAGGTGAGTGCTGGGCCTTTACTCTGGATTGTTATTTCTGCCATGTGTACCGGCTGCCTCGAACCCTAGACGACAGCTTTTAGGTTCTCACCTGATTCTTTTGGGCAATCTTTTGTCCCTTCTTCCAGCGTAGAACTGGTGTCAGAGCAGGGAGCTCCCTCTCTTCCTCGCCAGTCACATGTGTTCCGAGGTTGTAGGCAGCTTCAAACACGATCGGGCTGATGACGTCTTGCACCCTCCGCTGTAACAACAAACAGGCAAGTTAGCCATGGGTGCAGCTGACAGTCGTGGAGTTTCACAGCTTACAAAGATCTTCCACTTGACTTGCCTCTTATAATCTTTGCGACTAGTTTACAGGGTGGGGCTTTACTGCTTTCATACTTCAGATGTGGTAAACGAGGCCCAGGGTCATTATCATCTTGTCTCAGTGTCATTCTGCTAATGGTGAAACTTCTTTATTCTACCTTGCATAGTGCTACATCATCTTCACTTGAGCATATGGAAGACATTATTTTCCTCATCTTCCAAAAATTCACAGAAGGCAGTTAGAGGGTGAGAGAGAATCTGCACTCAATGCAAACCCTTTGCATCCATGGTGGTTTGATGATCAAAGCTCTTATGCACAGAGATTTAGGTTCTGTATTAAAAGCTGGGAACTCAAAAACCCTAAGGGCTCAGCATCTCTCAAGGGTTAGAGCCAGGGGCGAAAGTTTGACTTCAGGCTTTGTGTTCTCTCCTCTGAAACTTAAAGACTTCAGGACCCATGAGAATGGCAGGTTGGTAGCCACGGGGGAAAACAGGAAGACAAGAGAAAATAGCACTCATGCCCTAAACACTTACTAGATGCCAGACTCATGTCAGGTATTCTAGAAGAGTAATGTGCCCAAGCCCTGTGAGCTAAGGCACATTATCCTCCACTGCACAGAAAAGGAAAGCTACAACACTAAGTTTCCCAGGGCACAGGGCCAGTAAAGATTTCAAGTTTCATCTTTAACCCTGAAGTTACTGGTCTCCCCACACAGTGTCACTGCCTCCCAAGGACCCAAGATCTCACAGCTGAGAGAGGCAAGAGTAAAGCTGAGAGGTAGTCCTACATCCAGGGCCAATGTGCTCTCTGAGCGGTCTAAGAGGTGGCAAAGAAAAGCAGCACCAATAATCAAGTCCCCTCTGGCCCTGTACCGTCATGGAGAAAGATGTAGGGTGGAAGTGGCACAAAAAAGTGGCAGTGGCTTTGTTGGGAAAGGAGAGGCTGAGGAGTGGAGCAGCAGAGGGCAGGGTCTGGGCCATGAGTACAGAGCTGTGGAGTAACTCAAGAAGTGATAGGAGCCTCCTGTTGTTTAAAACATTAGAAAGTTCTTTGTGCCCCAGGAGATATACAGAAAAGTTTGTTTCCACCTCTCCCAGATGTCCAGTCCCACTCCCTATAGGCAGATCCTCCTACCATTTGAGGAACTGGGTATTTGTCCAGCATATATACACACATACATGCAAGGCTTGGCCTACATGCCCTTTGCTCTCTTTATTCAGCACTCATTCTGGAGATGAGCTATGTGTGTACCACCTCCTCTTGAAATGGCACACAGTGCATTGCCATAGTGATGTGCTCATTGACCAACCTTTGGGCTCAATTAACTATAAGCAAATGGGCAGCAGGTTATCCACACACCACAGCAGCATTCTCCAAGAGGGGTTCAGTTCCCTGGGACAGGAAGGAGGGGTGACAAAGCACCTACAACTAAATAAGTTGAGAGGACATCAAGTTAAACAGAGGTTAAAAGGATTTTATTTTATCTTATTTCTGTTTTTAGTGCAATTGCCTCTAATAATGAGATATGGCCCCGAATTGTTGGGCTGTTGAACCCTGTATTTTCTCAGAGCATATGCTAAGTAGAACACACTCAGAGATGCCAGAGGGATGCAGTCCAAGGCAGGAAATGGGCAGGCAGAGCCAGAGAACATGGGACAGGAGGCAGAGGTAGCCACATTGCAATCACTCAGCTGTGAGTTTTAAGTGATGGGGCAAAGTGGCACAGATGGCTTCAGGGGTGGGCACCCACATAACTAGCAGATAACATATATTTGTGTTTGGTCAAGTACTTGCTCAGTAGATTCAAGTATTTTGCATAAGTAAAAGAGGGCACCTGCTGAGGAGTGAGGGAGGAGCCTCTGGACATACTACCTCCAGAAAGCACTCTGAAACTCCAGATTTTAGGAAAAAACATTTAGGGCCCTTATCCTTTCCAGGAGCAAGGCACATGCCTGGGATCCAGATTCTCCTTGCCTGCTGACTCCGCTAACCAGGTCTTAAAGTGTACTGGTGGTATGGAGAAGAATGAATGAGCAAATGAATGAAGTTCTAACATGTTTCCAAACAATCGCACTTCTCAAGGCTATCACAAGATTTTGCATTTAACTCCTTCTTCTCAAAATAAACCAATTACTATCAGCCTACTTTGTTTACTCCTTTTTTTTTTGTATGGGGGCTTGAACTCACCACGTGTGCTTGCCAAGCAGGCACTTATACCATTGAGCTAAATCCCCAGCCCCTACACAGCTACTTTGGGAGGGGGACACTGGGAGTAGGAGGCAGCAGCCACTTGCCACTTCCGGGCTATGAGATGTGATTAAGGGACTGGGAAAAGCTCTTCTTCGCAGCATTGTCTTAGTTAATCCTTACAAAATGTAGGTGAGTAGATTATTGTCCCTATTTTATGGAGAAGGAAACTGAGATACAAAAGTTCAGACAAACTGTCCTCTATCTCAAAGTTTATAGGGCATTAGAACCAGACTTATTCTTAGAAACAGCAGTAACATCTTCTTTGCCATCCACAAAATACTATTTAAAAATTGTTTCAACCACTCTACGTTCTGGCACCAACCTAAGATACTATTTGTTTCCCTAAAAGCATACAGAGCAAAGAGGGAGAGGGATGTTTTACACAGGGCAATGCAGGTGAAAAAATAAATATCTAGGAAAGAGAGGCTGAAAACAAGAGCTATTTTTTTATTTAAAGAAAAAAAAAAAGAAAGGACATAAACAAAGCAGTAAAAGGGTACAAATAATACAGAATTTCAAGAAAAAAACATACAGTAAGAAATCACTAGTTAATAGGTTACCTATTGTCTTCCTAGAAACAGTTGTCCAAATTATAAAATTATAACATACAAAGTGGACAGTCATACAGTGATATTGGAGACAAGTCCGTTCAATGATCCAACAAAAGCTCAGTAATATGGTTTTCCATCCAACACATTCAAACATACCTGCGGTTATATCCTTAGTCCACCTTCCTTTCCTCTCTTTTTTACAATAACAATTACACATTTTGGGTTTTATTACTCCCACAGTTCTTATTACTGTTTTTTGAAGAGAAGAAAACCAAACGTGACTAAGCAAAACAGAGTCAATTAGAACAGAAGGGTGGGCATAGTACATGACGCAAAAATAGAATACCAGGTGATCAAAAGTGGTTACCATTGTGCCTCTTGCTATTTTTAAACTGCGTTGCCTATATCATCAGGTATAACAGAATTGATCAAAACAGTACAGAACAAGACCAATAAAACCTACATTGGAGACCTTACAGGACTTCAAAAAAAGATAATAATCAAACCATAATGGGCATCATAGCATATCTTATTGCCTTCAAAGTGGTTGCCTATACCCTCAAACTTGATACTATCAAACAAAATGGAATATAGAATAAGATGGGGAGAGCAATACTGGGGTTCAAATCAGGTTAATAGGAAAACAAAAAAGTTACTATAATATGTCCTGCTATTTTTTAATTTAGTTTTCCCTTAAATAAAAAAATGAGAGAAAATAGATTAATTTTTAAAAAGGGGGGAGTTTGAGATAAAAGAGGACATTGTAACAGAACAATGCACGTCAGAACCAAACAATTTAAGCATCATGTTTCATCACCAGATAATCTAATATAATAGTAGTCGCCATAATGCCTCTTTCCTTGAATTATTTGAGTGTAACTTCGTATGCTATAGCATCAAGCATATCAAGACAGTGTGAAGCCATTCAAGAGAATGAAAGAATTACAGGGTATTTAGAACCAGCTAATAGAAAACGAACAACGGTTTCTATATTATCTCTTTGCCTACAAAAAATATAGTGAAATATAGTATAGCATATAGTGAAATATAGTAAGATACATCATGTTAAAACCAGTGGAAACAGATGTACCACAGCTTGATGGGACTTCAAAACAAGACGATATTAAATCAGCACTAGCTTTTATGTTGTGTTGTTTTCTTCAAAATAGCTATTCGTACTATCACAGATACTAAAATCTAACAACCGAGGTTAAAAACCATCACAATTAATGAGGGAAAACATTACACGGCTTCAAACCAATATGATTAGGAATCATAATTACCACTTACTTTTATGTTTTCTTATCATTTCTTACACTAGGGAAACTAGTCGGTATTTATACATGTGAGTTTGATTTATTTCACTTATGATTATGGTCTCAAGCTGCGTCCATTTATTTATAAATGTCTCAATGTAATCATTCCTTATAGCTGAGTAGTACTCCATTGTATAAAAATACCAAAACTTTTTTATCCATTCTTCAGGTGATGGACACTTAGATTGTTTTCAAGATCTGGCTATTACAAATTGTGCTGCTATAAACATGGGTGCACATATATCACTGCAGTATGATGCTTTCAGTTCTTCTGGGAATATGCCTAGAAGTAGAAAAGCTGGGTCAAATGGGGCTTTCACCCAGCTTTCTGAGAAATCTCCAGACTGACCTCCACAATGGTTGCACTAGTCTACACTCCCATCAACAGTGCAATAGAGTTCCTTTTTCTCCACAGCCTCTCCAGCATTTGTTGTTGTTGGTTTTCTTGATCTTGGCCATTCTTTCAGGCGCGAGATGAAATATCAGTGTGGTTTTAATTTGCATTTCTCTAATGACCAATGAAGATGAACATTTTTTCATATATTTATTTGTCGTTTGTATTTCTTCATCTGAGAATTGTTTATTCATCTCAGATGCCCACTTTTGGATTGGTACTTCTTTGAATTTTGGGGGTCTGATTTTTTTTTAATTCTTTATATGTTTTAGACAGAAGGTTAATAGGAAAACATTCTCCCTTCTGTTCTAATTGACTCTGTTTTGCTTAGTCACATTTAGTTTTCTTCTCTTCAAAAAAAGTAATAAGAACTGTGGGAGTAATAAAACCCAAAATGTGTTCTGACTTTTAGACAGAAGTCCT